TACGAGCAGAATAAAATGAAATTACGAGCAGAAATTCGTGAAATTATAAATGTGCTTGCAGAATTACAATTAAAAGTTTGTCAGCAACTGAATTCGTCAACATCAAAACTTCACTCAAACACATCAAGAAATCAAATGCAACCAAAACAATTCTTATGTTAACTCAATGAAAATTTCTTGCAAAAACGAAATAACACCGAGATGCTGCTGCTGTAGCATCGGTAGTTCCACAAACAATTTCATACGGTTAACTGAAAAAAATGAGTACACATATTTGAGGAGACTAAAAACCGAAATGAAGTGCACTAAAACACGCTATACACTGAACATGCTGCAATCGAATAGCGGTAATATAGCGACAATAGTCATAAAAATAACAACAGCAACAATAATATCAATGATAAATAACGTCACGAAACAATAAAATGAAATATACAATAACATGTTATACTCATAACATAACGACACTCATACTAATAGTAACTGTAACAATAACAGAAATTGTAACCATGAAAACAGTCAAATTGAACGATACAATGAATTAATTTGATACATTGAAAATCGTACCATTCCACAATTTAAAAACAACTTATTCATTACAATCAAAGCGATGGTCAAAATAACAAAATTTATGCTTTACAATCATCCTCATGATCTTCCTAATTAAATGAATATCACAGTTCTTCTGGTTGATATTCCCTCTTCACTTAATGCATGATAGTTCCATTCGCATTTCTCCCCTTCCATAATCCTTTATTCCTCCATCGGTGACACAGAACGTTTCGACTGATGTGAAGACGATTTCTTCTTACGGTTACTCTCCTGAAAAGAAACCAAGAAATTAATGAGAAGAAACGAGTACGATTCGGTGATGAAATGCATAGAGAAAATTAAAAGTATGAAAACGATTAGTGCTACCAGAAAGCAACACATACTGCACTACTCAGATGCTGAAAAGAAAGAAAGACGCTTTGCATTATTCGAACAAAATTTGTCCATGCTTGGTGCTGCTGGTTTAGTACTTTCCCTGACAGTCATTCTCAATTAGTTCGAGTTGTTGTGATCTTAGTGCATAATATTTCAAGACGAATCTTTACAAAATCAACCGGTTTTCGATGATTTTTTAATACTTTCAGTTGATGTGAGAAAGTTTTAGTAGTGTTCCGTTAAACTAGCAAAATCATTAATTGAGGTGCGATCAAAAAATACTACACGATTCGGTGAGATCTTCTAAATCCGGTACCAAAGTCGCTATGAACATCACCGCCAAACCGTCCGGTATATCTTTCAGTTAAAATTTTGCATGCATCTTGCAGAAACGAGAGTGGCCACTTGAAGAGAACACGAGAACATGTATAGCAAAGTATAGTTAACAAGTAGTTTTAGTTAAAAATATAGTTCAGAGAGGAATTCAAAACCGTCTTCAGCTGCCCAACCATCGTTACTTTCTTCATTGGATCATTCTTTAAATGTTTCTACTAATAGCATAAGTACTGACAAAACATCACATAATGCAATATAAGACGGACTTTATGGAAGGAAACACATTGAACTGAAAAAATTTAAATGAATAGTGACTTATTATAAGCATGCTATTATGGTACAGCTCATGAAACTGAAGGAAGGTGGATGCATTCATCGAAGATTTGTTAAAAACATCACAAGAGAATGGTGCAGATTACAGTTTACCGCATCCAGTTAGTTCGAATCACTAGTATCTCATAATCAAGAAATACCATTTTTGTATTCTCAGAATTCTACAATATTATTTTTGTATTCTCAGAATTCTACGATTTTCATGATTCTAAACGCATTCACTAATCGTAAAAACTAAACCATTCATAAATTTTACTTTAAGAAGAGCATGCAAAATTAGTATAGAACTTTTTGAAATAGAAATGATTAAATTTAAAAGAACAATTCGAAAACAGAAAAACAAGTAATGGTAGCATGCTTCTTCATGGGTGAATTCATAAATTCACACAAAAATTAGAATGATCAGTTCGTTAAATAAGTTTATGATCGTTGAAATAATAACAGAAGCTTTTCACTGTTATCAAACAATCGAATGCATGCCCTTTCCAATTGTCAGGCAGGTAACATACCCGAGAAACAGACAAGTTTTAGTTTAACTTAACTGACTTTTCAAATTGCAATCAACTTCAAAATTTTAATCTCTCTGCATTCATATCTTCTGATTCGGTTCGGATCGCGATCAACTCACTTAATTTATCGATTCAAAAAGAATCGAACGAGTAATAATCCCAACTATCCCCATCATACGTCAACAAATCCAATCGTAAGCTTTAACATTCCAACACATAATTTCCTCTCAAATGATGGAATACCGAAGAATCAGTCAGATCCCTTTGAGCAAGACTGATCTATTTGAAAAGGAAAACAGAGCAAACAGATGCCTTCTTTCAAATGAGGTAGATTCTATCCTTTTAACGCCACTCTTCAAATCATNAGAATGAATGAGTAAAATCAAGCCTGGTGCGTCTTATTATTTCTCACCTTCTTCGCACCATGCGACTTCACATTTTTTTCACTTTCCTAAAATCAATTTTCAAAACAACAAAAGTCAAACTCAACTACCGGTGCAACGTGCATCCAATATCAACTCAACTATTTATTTTATTTCATTGCTAAATGTTCCAACGAAAACTCTTTCAAACCTACTCAACTCATACTGTATCGTTTGCTTCTATTCCACGAAAATACGAACAACCAACTCACTACGAGGAGTCACTTTACTTACCTGCACGAGTATATGACGAATAAGGAGATGCATATGTATTTGGACAAACGAAAATGAACAAATAAATGAACAAACGAATCAACTTCAACAAAAATCTAAAAGTTTCTATCTTTTTCTAAAAGTTTCTATTTTATTCAAACTACCCCGAAACAATTTTTTTCAGAAACTCCAGACGAAATCACTTCTTAAACACCATTAAGTGATACTATAAACAATCTACCCAGAGTTTGCTAATTGAATGAACTATACTCAATGATGAAACGTAACACTCATCGATGCTAATATTACTTACATAATAATTGTGATATCTTCATGGTAATATAGAAATGACAATCACGATAATAAGATAACAATAATAAAATTTAAACAAATAATAAACATAATATATAATAACATAATTCCATGTGAGAATCGCAAAATTTTCTGCTAAAAAATCACAAATTACAGACCTTTTCATCATTCGATGGACTATTGCGTACACTACTGGTTGTCGATGAGCCGGGTTCATTTGAATTCGAGTCTTGCATTTGCACTTTAACCGAATTGCTTGATGAGGAGGTGGACGCTTGTTGACTGGTTTGAGATTGACCATTTGGTGGTTGCTGTTGGCTTGTTGAGGCGCTGTCCTCACCACAAATCTTACTCCAAACACTTTCCAACAGCACCGAATCATTAAATATCTCCGATCCATCAATGTTATACTTCTGAAAGTTTCCATTTTATTCATCCAAACATTCAAATGAAATGAAACAACCAAACACTGTAAAATATTTTGTCATTTCGAGTTAATTTTTTGATTTGATAAAACCAAACCAAACCCAACACAAACAAATACTTACTCGGGCATTCGCACAAAGCAGTTTCAAATCCTTGCCCATATCCTGTACACTCGAATAACGACCTTCTTTGATTTTCCGTTTCATTTTGTTCAGATCCATCGGTTTTTCGATCACCTCATAATAGTCGGGCAATTCACGTCGTGACGGTAACTGCTCAAAAGCACCTGCTACCTCATGGCCACTACTAAAAATGTCATAAAATCAAATCTTAAGTCACTAATCTTTGCATTCCGTTTTACCACAATTTATGTATTCATCTAAAATGAGAAGCAATACAACAAAAATTTTGCTATAAAGAAAGAAAATTAAAGAAAATTTTTAATATAAAAAATTTCAGCGCGAACAAAATTACCACAAATAGAGACAAACCTTGTTTTATACGATATAAGTGCATCGTAAAGTTTGTTGAGCAGAGCTGTCAACTCTGGGGTCGGTTTCTTTCGTTTCGGTGCATCATCATCATCGTCATCATCTATAAATTTGTAAATTTTTTCTTGTTTCTTGCAACAATTTTTTTGCTTGTAAACTTCTTGTAATTTGTAAATTTCTTGTAAATTTTCTTATAATTCCAGTTGTCGTTCATATTTTCATTACTGTACGACTATCATTAAGCATACTACGACTGAATTGTTTTCATCACTCTCAATATTACCTCTGTATTGTCATCTCAATCACCATGATCAATACTCTTATATTTACTCTTATAATTACTTATAATCCTTATAATCATCTAATAAAGTAATACTCTTACAGTTGAAATGCTCATCACCACTAAGAGTCATACCAATGTGACGTCTTCGTTTGCCACGTTCTTTCTTTCGTTTTCGTTTTCTTTCCTCCTCTTCTTCGTCGTCTTCATCATCGATATCCTCATCGATACTTTTCAGCCAATCTCGATCGGACATTAAATCCTGGAACCAAAAATTTTTAATGAATCCCACGAATTACCACATATCTTTCGAAACATTTTCATCAGATTTCTGACGCAAAACTTTTTCACTCAAATACAGTAAAACTCTATCACATCGCATTGTTTCACACACACAAAAAAAGAAAAGATTCTTATTGCTAGATAGAAATTTATTAAATGAATGAATACATGCAAATACTCCATGATAAGTTATCAGTACCTGTGAATAATCGACTTCTTTGCGATGTCTTCGTCCGATCGGCTCCACAAAGAAAGGCTTTTTATTTTGTTGTTCCTTCTCTTCCTCAATGAAGTGCTGTGATGCCTTAATGATACCATCGGGAATCTCGTCTTGTTCGATTAAACGAGGCTTGCGACGATACTCGGCAGCCTCTTGACGTCGACGTTCAATGTCCATTTTCTGCAACCACGCTTTCTCATGACAATAAGCGTTTAAAGGATATAGTCAGTCACTAAATTCTAATTCGCATCTCATATCAATTCTAATGTAACACCAATAGGATCACTTTGTGATCACTTCAATATCATACGATTGATATTCAAAATACATTTTATAAATCTATAAACTCACTAAGATTACATTGAGATTTAAAATTTTCTCACAAATTTCCCATCATTTTTGATTGATTACGAATGATCTCAGCGATTTATTTGCCAAAGCCGAACGAATTACTCTCTCATGTGAAGTTCTAAAACAGTTCCGTAACAAAACTTCAACTTCCCAACGATAAAGTAACTAAAACAAAACCTGGAACAAATCGAATTCCTCCTCAGAACGCGCGACCATTTGGTTGATTGTTTCATCGTCAGGTACTTCATTTTCTTCATCGTCTTCACTTTCGGCCCTGAAGTATTCAAACACGAAGGTCCATCTGATTCGCAATTCGAGTAAAAACATTCAGCTTCCTAACACTATCAGAACTTATAAATGCTTAACTACTGAAGTGTTTTCAAATGTTGTGTTTACAAATATTTAAACTGAAATATTTACAAATGT